TTCCTCCTATTATTCTCCTTTTTGTTCTTTATTTTCAGGATTTTCGCATCCAGCGTAGCAGAAGCGCCTCTAGTGGCTGTCAGGAAGACAGCCACTAGAGGTTGGATTAATCCTGCTATGTAAACATAGCAGTTTCTCTGAAACTGCTAAGTTTACATCTGAAGGGTTAAAACCTGGGGGACCTGGCACCCAGGCCACTACATTGATGCATCAATGGCAGGTAAGGGGAGGGGTTTCAGGTTATATAGGCCAGATAACCCCTCCCAAAACTACAGGCCCACCTTTTTGTTTGTGGTCGGGTAACATAGGCCAATAGTATAGTGTGGACTATGCATTTATATGTACAATAGTTGCTTGTGAAGTGACAAATGGCAATTTACAACTCACCATTCATGACATATGCAAGGCAGAGTCCATGGTGCGGACCCTGGGCCTGCCACTAGAAACAATCCTGGGAACCCCACCTGTGGATCCCACATGTTGCTTGGATCCTGCAGCAATTGTACCGTTTGTCCCACGGAGAGCAAGTGAAGAACCCTATGTGACAGTGAGACCGGTCAGCTTACTTCATAGTTTCTTTCTGCTTTATTGCCAAATTGTTCCGTTACACAAATGACACACTCCGCCACACTTATGCACCATACTAGCTCGCAAGTCTCCTCCATATCCCCACCACCTCATGTTCTTCACACATGAGTAAACTAGATTATACACACATAAGGTGAACTTACCAGTTTGTTCAGCTAGTCTGCATCGCTGATATATCGACCCTACATTATCTAGCATTCTTTTGCATCCAGCACTCTTACCTTACTCAAAAAAAAGAAAAACAGTTCACAGCTTTATTCGCACATGTATGGTGCAATCTTCTCTGATATTGAACTGTACAAAAATAAAGATTTTCAAAGGTTGATTGTGGTATGCTGAAACCGTTAAGAGGTTAGGTCTGTAAAAAAGAGGGCAAAATATGATATGATTATTAAATTAACTTATAGACAAATTACAACGCAATAGTATTTTGAAAGAATATCTGATTTCAGTTCTTGTTGTGATAACATTATACAAATATATCCAGGGCCAATACAAACCATTGTGTGGAAATCTATTCGTCCAGTGAATGCGTTTACACTGGAAGAAAGAAGATTTAGTCTAAGGCAAAGGAAAGGATTTTTTTTTACCGTAAGAACATTAAGGATATGGAATTCTCTGCCTGAAGAACTGGTTTTATCAGAGTGGTACAGATGTTTAAACAGCAACTAAATGCATACTTGCAAAAACAGAATATTCAAGGAACTAGGAAAAAATTCCTTCTTGACCCCAAAATAGCAGTCAGATGTCTCCTTTGATCAAGCAGCTATTACCCCACTAATTAGAAATAATATCCCTGTATGTTATGTTTTTGCAAGTATTTATCCAATTTCAGTTTAAACATCTGCATGGACTCTGATAAAACCACCTCTTCAGGCAGAGAATTACATATCCTTATTACTCTTACTGTAAAAAAACCTTTTCTTTGCCTTAGATGAAATCTCCTTTCTTCCAGCCTAAATGTGTGACCTTGTGTCCTTTGTATAGCCCTGTTTATGAATAGATTTCCAGATAATGGTTTGTACTGGCCCCCGAATATATTAGTATAATGTTATCATATCCCCTCCGAGGCACCGTTTTTCCAAACTAAAGAGATTTGATAAACATATGCCAATCAGTGCACTGTTTGAGACACTTATACAATGCTATTTCGATCAATATTTGTTCAGTAGATATGTTATTCTTACCAAACAGACATTAGTGCAGGGGTAGGCAACCTTTTAGCAGCACTGTGCCAATATAGGATTGTGATGTCCCGTAGCGTGCCGGTCCTATTTATTTTAAATTGAGGTGTGTATGCTGCCGTATTCTGCTTGTGTTATTTATACTGTAATTGCTTTGTATCGTGCATATATGAGCTATTATATTGTATATGTTCAGGAGTAGTTTGTGGTATTGTGTATGATACATATGAATGTCGGCTGTGTATAGGGGCTGCTTGTGGAATTGTGTATGTGTGGATGGATATGTCACATTGTGTGTTTGGTAGTGTGTGTATGTGTGTGGGCTGTTTGGGGTATTGCATGTGAGAGGCTGCATGTGGGGTTGTGTGCATGTATGTGGATTGTAAGCGGGTTACGTTTGTGCGGATTGTATGTATGTTTATTTGTGGGCTGTTCGTATTATTTGTATGAGGGGAGGGTTATTGTGCATTTCTGTGTATATCTAGCAGTGTGGGTGGCTTCCGTGGGTTCCAGTGGGGACCAGGCTGGCCAGGTACAGGTGCAGACTGCTCTACTACAGTCTGGATTTCATTTACAAGTGCTGGGAGGAAGTGATCTGAGATCACTTACTCTGTGTGCTGCAATGCAGAAATTGAGGATTGTCCTTCACCACCTTTTCGTATTAGCAGATATCTGAAGTTTCACTGGGACTCCTGATAGGCCAGATCCTGTTTGGCTCTAGCAGCCTTGAGTACCATGCAAAGACTCCTTGAGTGCCGTGCATGGAACTAGTGCCGTAGGTTGACTACCCCTGCATTAGTGTATTGTATCTATTAACCTGTACACATTGGGCTACGGACAAATTTACAACAATTTGATTCCAAGACGGCACTGTTTAGTGAACTTCCTCCTTCACAGTGCGAGTTTTTTTCTTTTTTTTCGACTGACATTTGTCTTTATATTTAGACACAATCATTCCTTTTAGTCTCTTTGTGCCACCTATCCTGCTACAACAGGACAGATTTTCGTTTGCTATTCTAGCAACATTAGTTTGGGGTACATAGGATATTGTACCCCGTACTATACTGATGCATTAAGTTGCCGTTTTTTATCTCACTTGTTCATGGATGTTAGGCCAATACCCCCTATTTTAGCTTGCTTAACAATAAAAGTTGAAGTTTTATTTGGAGGGATTTTTTTTGTCAACTGTAATTATATTTTTCCCTGTAAGTTTCCCTAGTAGCCCTAACCCTAACCCTAGTAGCAGAAGCGCCTCTAGCGGCTGTCAGGAAGACAGCCACTAGAGGTTGGATTAATCCTGCTATGTAAACATAGCAGTTTCTCTGAAACTGCTAAGTTTACATCTGAAGGGTTAAAACCTGGGGGACCTGGCACCCAGGCCACTACATTGAGCTGAAGTGGTCTGGGGGACTATAGTGTCCCTTTTAAGACAAACAAATATTACATCCGACCACTAAAACATAATAAGACCAGTCAAACAGGATGCCCAGTAGTAATACCTGTTTACCTTTAGAATTAGAACAGTTAGAACAGTTGGTGTCCAGTAATGGTACTTAATGATCTCACCTAGACATTTGCAGATAATCTCCCCTCTTCTGTCGCTATCATTGCATAGGAACCTTCTCACTACACATAAATTACACTGTGTATTAGGATTCGCTTAGTCGGGTTAGGTTTCAACCCTGCTTCTTTCTCTAGACAGTTTTTTCGCATAGGAGCAGCTTCTGTGGCATCTAGTTACAATATTTCTACACATATCATAAAGAAAATAGGTTGTAGGTAGATAGTTACATAAGGTGAAAAGAGACATGTGTTCAGCCTTTTTTGTTTCCTCATACTTGTTTTTTTGCTGTTGATCCAAAAGAAGGCAAAATATTTTTTTTTGCCTTCTTTTGGATCAACAGCAAAAACATATGTGAGGAAGGCTAAACTTGATGGACGCAAGTCTCTTTACAGCTATGTAACTGTGTAACATGTGGACCTGTTTTTAGTTGTTCCTGGTGGAATGCAGACCCCTTTCCACAAAGCTCCCATGTAAACTTTCTTGCGTGGAGCACTCCTTTGACTTTATGCATTAGGCTAAAATATGTTTAAAGGACCACTAAAAGCACCAAGACTACTTTATCTCAGTGATGTTGTTGGGAGCAGAGGCCCTATAGTTTAACCTTTGCAATGTGAAACCATTTTATAGAATCTGCAATATTTCCATTGCAGGGTTAACACACCTCCAGTGGCTTTTTTGCAGAATTTTGAGAACCAAGTCAAACTTTGTATGCTGCTAAAATGCGAACTAGCCTCCTATGTTTCCCTATGGGGAAGCATTGGATTCGCTGAAATTCGTGTTTGTGTGAGTTGTGTTTTAAAGCTGTTGTATACAGCAGACACATTCTCCAAGGAATCCATGTATAAAGTGGAATTTTATTAAAGGACACGGAGGCTCACATTATGCTTTATCTCCTTCTTTATTCCTCAGCAGCAAAGAAAGAAAATAACATAACAGCTACTTTACAGCTAAGTAAAATTCATTTTTCTCCTGTCATTACCAGTAATTTCAGTGTAATTTTGTGTTTTCATAATTGAGGTTTCATGATTTATGTTCTGTGTACCCAAATCACTGCTTCTGTGCTTGGTATTGTCTTTTTAGTGAGCTCTGATGGCTATTGTGTTTCTCCCTCATTCTTCCCCTCGCTCCCCTCTGTGCTCATTGTTTATAACCCAACGTTCTGGGTCGGTTTGCAGCCTCACTACCTGAGGCTTTCTCTATCCTGGTGTCTCACAACCCCACTCCGAGATTCTCTATCGGTCCTGCTGGTCTGCGGCTCCAGGCCAGGCACGGCTGGCGCAACCCGCGCATGACGTGTTTATATTGGTGGACACAGTGTAGGTATCCCCTGCCTTGCCTGTGCTACTGAATTTGCACTGTTCTAGGATCTCTTGGAGTCTTACCTTGCCACTCTATGTGTTTTGTCCTGCCATTGTTACCCCCTTTTGTGTGTTCTGTACTTTGCTTTTTATAATGCAATCACAGAAAGACTTGGACACTGCCACTAATGGTTCTTCCTTTAGGGCCACTAGGAACCTTACACCCCAGATGGTATCAAACCCCCCTAGTCTTACTATTGTAGCAAAGCCTTGCAGGGGCAAATGAACTCAGAAGAGCTTCATTCCCTCCTGGACCCTACTATGGGTAAGTCAGTAACTCAAGCCATTTACTCCGCTATGGGGGCAATGTCGGACACGTTGTCCCACTCTATTACCCATGCCCGTATGTCCACCCAGCGGACCTCTACCCATATTTCTCCTGACCCCCCAGAGAATAAACCGGTTACTACTGGTGGGCGCAAAGCGGCCAAAAAATCCCGTCACCTAGACGAAGACGCCTCCAAAACAGTACTATCAGACCGGGAACGTCCAGTCACAGTTGATGTGGTTGCACAACAACAGAGAACCACCCACCGGGCAAAATCCCTAATCAAATAATCAATTCTGAAACAGAACAGGAGGAGGCACTGAGCGAGTCCGATGACGAGGACTCTTACAATTCTGGAATATTTTTTTCCTGATCACCGTTCTCTATCAGTGTCTGGGACTCAACTTAAAGTCGGTGGGGAGGATTCCACCCTCCTCGACCCGGAGTGGTACCCATTGGATCATGTGGCAAAGTATATCAGGAAGCCATTTGATAAAGTGGAATAAACTTCAGGCTGAATGCCCGTGTCCCACGATTCCTGATTTGGCATGCATCACCCCAGACGTAGATCCAGAAATCGTCCAATTTCTGGCAAAACAGGGTGGAAGGCCTAGATTTTTCTTTACGCAATTGCCAAGACAAAGTACTGGACGTCCTTGGACCCAGTGCTAAAATATTCGACATGGTCAAAACAGCCCTGACAGGTGGTACTCCTGCAGATTTGCTGGCCATCAGTGGTTGGATCCAACAATTCGTCTGTTTTATTGGCAATGCCAATACGGCTTTGGCCACTGAGAGACGTAAGGCAATCCTTATTAAGATTGAACCAGAAATGGTGAGTTTGTCTATATCAGAGCCTGGGCCACAGGCCTTTTGGGGACAATTTTGTGACGGAGCTGGGCACGTATGTGGGGACTTTTACCGCACTCGATAAGGCACAAGCCAATATGAAAAAGGTATTCTCCCTGCAGATATTGAGGCCGTCTGCCTGGCCGCTACTTCTGGGGCTCGTACCGGGGTTCCTGAGGCTCCATGCACTCCCAATTCCAAGTTCCTGAGCCTAAAACCACCTCATCATTTTTCCCAGTTCGTGGCAGGCTGTAGCAATCTCGTGGAACCAGAGGTTCTTCCTATGGCCGACGCCCTTAAGGTAAGTTCGCTCCCATCACATCTTTCTTCACTAACAATTGTGGGGGGCAGATTATACCATTTTGTGAATGCCTGGCACATGTTAACTTCTGACTCGTTGGTCCTACAAACTGTTCTGGGTTATTCCATAGATTTCGTACAATACACTGTTCAAATGTGCCTACCCAACCAAATAGGTTTTTCTTCACATGACCGGTCCTTAGTAGCAGCAAAGATACAGTCTCTCGCGACAAAAGGCGCAATCTCAGAGATGCATCCACACGCCTCGGGAGTTCCTAAGCAATCTCTTCATCGTACCCAAGAAAGGCGGGGGCATCCGACCGGTCATCAGTCAATGCCCCTTAAACGCATTTGTTGCATACCACCATTTCAAGATGGAAGGTATTCACTCCCTCAGAGACCTACTCCGGCTGGGGCATTCGATGGTCAAGTTCGACCTGTAAGACGCATACCTCACAGTTCCAATGGCCAAGGACTGACAGCAGTTCCTGCAATTCCAGTGGGAGAGGACCATGTGGTGTTTCAATTGCCTGCCCTTCGGGCTCTTATCGGCCCCTTGGTGCTTCACAAAACGAATGAAACCAGTGGTTGTCCTCCTATGAAGTAGAGGGTTCGTCTGATTATATACTTGGACGATATACTCGTGATGGAGCAGGACCCTCACAAACTCTGCAAACACCTGGTTTGGGTGCTGACTCTACTATGCAATCTTGGCTTCCTTATCAACTGGGACAAGTCATTCCTCGAACCCTCCCAGTCCATGGAATTCCTCGTTTCACCATCATTTCCATAGGGGGTGTTCTCCTAATGTCACCTTCCAAGGTCAAAGCAATAAAGAAGGAAATCCGTTGAACGCTGGCACGTCCTGTTCTTACACTGAGGTAACTAGCCAGGATCATCGGCCTTCTCTCAACCGCAATCCAGGTCATTTTTCCAGGTCTGCTTCATTACAGAGCATTTCAACACTTAAAAGCAAAACACCTTTTGTTTGGGGCACTCTTATTCAGACTCTGTTCCTCTCAACTGCTCAGTCAAAGAAGAACTCAATTGGTGACTGCAGCACATGGAGGCATGGAACGGACAAGCAATCTTTGGGACTGCCCCAGATCTCGTCGTGGAGTCGGAAGCAAGCATGCTCGGTTGGGGCGCGCCCTGTGGTCCTATTTCCACCAGAAGGAAATGGTCCCTAAACAAACAGGGGTTACACATCAATTGCCTCGAACTACTGACAGGCTTGTTTGCACTTCAGAATCTATTAAACTCGCTACATAAACCATCTCTGAGTCACGAGGTCCACGGTTTTGGTAGAAATGGCCAAGGAATTCTGGCAATTCTGCTTGGATCTCAATATCTCGGTTCAAGCGGAGTACATTCCCGGGATTTCCAACATAGTAGCAGATTGGAACTCCAGATACCTACGGGATGCCAGCCATTGGCAGCTGAATCATGCCATTTTCCTCCACCTGCAGTCACTCTGGGCCCCTTTAAATATTGACCTTTTTGCATCATGGTTGAACTCCCAACTACCAAAGTTCTTCAGTTGGAGACCAGACCCAGAGGCCGTGGCGCCGGATGTTTTCCATCAGCTGTGGCCGAACACTCGTCATTACGCTTTTCCTACCTTCTCCCTGATAGCTCGGACACTACTGCATCTCAGACATTGCCGGATCTCCTTGCTCCTCATATCTCCATTCTGGCCAGCTCAACCATGGTTCCCTACACACATGAAAATGTCCATAGACTATCCGAGGTTACTACAAAGAATACAAGGAGAGGGCTGCGCTTAAAAAGTACTTAAAAGGTATTAAGAGTCCAGATAAAATTGATGAAAAAAAGGAAGAGGATCTTATCTGGCAATGTCCGTAGTATTTAGTCCGGAGCAGTAATCTTGCTTTCTATCTTCCTTTTGGGCCGTCTCGTATGTAAGAGATGAAAACAAATACAGAACCCAAATGGTGTAGTATATCTTAATAAAACGGGAATTAAAATATAAAACTTGAATGCAAACTCACATTTCCAAGAGCTAGAACCTGCTCTGGTGTAAAGGGCGTACAGCGGTTTAGATCCCCGCTTATGGGATATGGAATGCTTATCCTTCACGTGCCTCGTCCTTCCGTAGAGTGGGAGATACTCAAATAAAAAGAGACAACTAATAGTGCTCTCTGTATAAAACTGAAGATAAAATATAAAATAAAAATGGATACTCACAAGACAGGAGCAGGTCAACTGCTCCTGATATATCGCGCTGGTGGAATAATCCCCACCTAGGATTGCTTGGAGTCCAACGAATAGTGCCAGGAAATAATAATAAATATATGTGTATAAAAAGATAAGTGGTACAATAAAAAGTTACCAAATATACTTTAATTATAACATTACACAATATAAAAAACCATAAACGCGTTTCGCCAGTCGGCGTTATCAATATGGTTTATCCGAGGTTACTCCCTACTTCACCAGACCTCTTGCTCCCTTCTATTACAAGGGCACCTCAGGTTACTGGCATGGCTCCTCTCCGTGGACTCTGCTTCATCCCAAATGTTCCATAGCCAACTCTGGACCTCCTAGCAGGAGCTTGGGCTCCAGGCAAATGAAAGACCTGCATGCCTGGAATTAATGGGATAGTTGGTGCATGGAACAACACGTGGATCCCATATCGACACTTGTAAGTCATATATTGAGGTTCCTCACTTCACTGTTTGACCATGGCCTAGCCTATCATACGATAAACTTATACCAATCTGCAATTTTTGTGGGCCACAATAGCTATGACTGCCCAGCAGGAAAACATCTCTTGGTGTGCCGGCATCAGATTTGCACGCCCACTTCAACCTAAATACTCTTCGTTATGGGATGTGGACCTTGTCCTCCGACTCTTCGCTAACTGGCCAAGGAATGAAGACCTTTCACTCAAACAACTCACGGTGAAACTGGTGATGCTGCTTTGCCTGATCTCCTGTAAACGTGTATCAGATGTGCGTGCACTGGATCTTTCTGCACGTTCGTTTACTCCTGATGGTGTTTCGTTCAATATCTAAAGACGTACCAAAACGTCAATTTTCTCTGTCTTCTACCCAGCTTTTCCTCAGAATGTTAACTTGTGCCCAGTGACCTGTCTCAGGGAATACGAATCTGGAACTTCCTCCCTTCGTGATCCAACACATCCAGACTTGTTTTTAGCACTCCGACACCCACATCACCCTGTCTCTGCATTTACACTGTCTCGTTGGGTTAAATGGATTATGAAGTTTGTTGGCATCAACACTTCAGCGCTTGGGGCACACTCTGTTAGGAGAGCCATGGGCATGTAGATTAGAACACCTTCTCCAGGCTGCTGACTGGTCCCGTGAATCTACTTTTCAAGAATTTCATTTTCGTCCAGTTTCTCATTTTTTTTGACATGGTAATTTCCCAGTTTTGAACTAGCATAAAATTACCAGATTTGACGTAAAGTCATGATTTTATTAAGGACACGGAGGCGAGTATTATCCCACCCGATACAGGTAAGTTGCGCCCTCCCTTATATGGGTTTATTATATGGTCTGTTATGATGTTGCTGTATACTTACCTAATTGAAGGTTCTATTATGATACTATTCTGTTCATATTGGATTATTATTAATATTGCCATTTATATAGCGCCAACAGATTCCGTAGCACTTTACAATATTATTAGAGGGGGGGATTTAACTATAAATAGGACATTTTCAAGAAAACTTACAGAAATTATAGGTTGAAGAGGGCCCTGCTCAAACAAGCTTACAGTCTATAGGAGGTGGGGTATAAAACACATTAGGACAGGAAATAGCAGTCAAATTAGGTGGGAGTGAAGCAGAGCTGGAGGAGAGAGCAGAGTGCTGCCCTTTAGGAGAGAGCAAAAGACAGGTATGTGAGGTACAGGTTAGTCTGGGAGGCCATAGGCTTTCCTAAAGAAATGGGTTTTAAGGCACTTGTTAAACAATTGAAGACTAGGGAAGAGTCTGATGGTGGTAGGAAGGCTATTTCATAGGAAGGGAGCCGCCCACGAGTTGGCCATATGGGTGCGAGCAGCGGACAGAAGAAGGTCACGGGCAGAGCGGAGAGACAGAGAAAGGGGCATACCTATGGATCTGTGAGGAGATATGAGGGGCTAATAATATTCAGTGCTTTATAGGTATGGGTTAGCACTTTGAATTGACTCCTATAATATACAGGAAGCCAATGTAAGGACTGACGGAGGGGTGAGGTGTGAGAGTAACCGACTAGAGAGGAAAATCAGTCTGGCGGCAGTATTCATTACAGACTGTAGCAGGGCAATACGGCTATTGGGACGACCAATTAGGAGAGAGTTACAATAGTCCATTGCGAGAGATTACTAGAGCATGGACAAGCTCTTTAGTAGCATCTTGTGTAAGAAAGGGGCGGATGCGGGCGATGTTTGTGAGGTGGAATTGGCATGATTTGACAACAGACCGGATGTGAGGCTCAAAAGGTGAGGCCAGAATCAAAAGTAACACCAAGACAACGTGCTTGTAAGGATGGACTGATATGGGTACCACCAATCTGAAGGGAGAGCGAGAGAGGAGGATTAATATTAGGAGGAAGAAAGACAAGAAGTTCTGTTTTGAAAAGATTCAGTTTCAGAAAGCGGGAGGACATCCAATCAGAAATAGAAGAAAGGCAAGAGGTGACACGTTGCAGAACATCAGGGGAGAGGTCCGGGGAGGAGAGATATATCTGGGTGTCATCAGCGTACAGGTGGTTTTGGAATCCAAAAGAGGTAATAAGTTTGCCAAGAGAGGCAATGTAAAGAGAAAATAGAAGGGGACTAAGGACAGAGCCTTGGGGGACTCCAACCGAGACAGGACGAATGGTGGAGGTATCATTAGAAAAGGAGACACTGAATGAGCATTGGGAGAGATAAGAGGAAAACCACAAGAGGACACAGAGACAGAGTGATTGAAGAGTTTGGAGAAGGAGAACATGATCAACAATATCAAAAGCAGTAGAGTGGAGGGGGCGGAAGTTGGACTGAAGAGGGTCAAGGAGAGAGTTGGAGTTAAGGAAGCAGGACAGACGGTTGAAGACTAGTCTTTCAAGAAGCTTTGAGGAAAAAGGGAGCAGGGATATAGGACGATAGAAGGGGAGGTTGGGTCGAGACATGGTTTCTTTAAGATGGGTACTACAGTAGTATGTTTAAGGACAGCAGGAACAGTGCCAAAAGAAAGAGAGAAGTTGAAGATGTGTGTTAAGGAGGGCACAAGACAAGAGGAGAGAGATCTGATAAGGTGACACGGGACAGTATCAAGCAGGCAGGTGGTGGGGCGAGAGGAAAGGATAAGCGCAGCCACCTCTTGTTCAGTAGCCTGGGAGAAGGTCGGAAGGGTTGGAGAGGCATGATCCAGGTGAGATTAAGAAAGCGAGGGGCAAGGTGGTGAGAATTCTTTCCTTAGCTGTTCAATCTTCTCAGTAAAGGATATGTTATTATGTTTAATAATGCATTATAGATGTATTTTAATATCCGGAAACACATTTTACCAGTTGTTTCTCTGTTCCTTTCAGCTTACTTTCCTTTCATGTTCCAATGGAGGATCACGTTTCTCATGGAATACTGGTGTCATCTACCTACGAAGTTGCTGTTTCTTCAAGTTTGACCAAATGTTTGTTAGAGATGTTAGTCGGAATCATCAAGAAAGAGGAGTGGCTTATTATCACATGAGGACTTATGGTGCAAGGAGCATTCTTATTGGATGCCATGTTATGTTATTAACCCTTTGAGGGTGCATGTTTGAATTTTTCTAAGAATATTACAGTATCCTTTCTTTGCTGCTGAGGAATAAAGAAAGAGATAAAGCATAATACTCGCCTCCGTGTCCTTTATAAAATCATGACTTTACGTCATGAAATTAGTAAAATCTGGTAATTATGAGACAGAAATGTGGTTCTTTGTTAAGCTCATTTACATAGGTCTACTCAGGATCCCTTGAAGTAGTGAGAGCACTGTTAAAGTGAGATTTCTGTGGAAAAAGCAAGTCTTATGGCATGACTGGCGTGTGTATTTGTGTTTAGCAATGTATTAACGTTGTGTATATATATATATATATATATATATATATATATGTATGTATATATATATATATATATATATATCTCTATACACACTGAGGGGAAAAAAGTATTTGATCCCCTGCTGATTTTGAACGTTTGCCCACTGACAAAGAAATGATAGGTGTATTTTAAAAGTGAGAGAGAGAATAACAAAAAAAAAAAAAAAAATCAGAAAAACGCATGTCAAACATTCTATAATCTGATTTACAGGTCAATGAGTAAAATAAGTATTTGACCCCTTCGAATTAGTACTTGGTGGCAAAAGCCTTGTTGGCAATCACAGAGGTAAGATGTTTCTTGTAGTTGGCCACCAGGTTTGCACACATCTCAGGAGGGATTTTGTACCACTACTCTATGCAGATCCTGTCCAAGTCATTAAGGTTTTGAGGCTGACGTTTGGCAATTCAAACCTTCATCTCCCTCCACAGATTTTCTATGGGAGTAAGGTCTGGGGACTCGCTAGGCCACTCCAGGACCTTAATGTGCTTCTTCTTGAGCCACTCCTTTGTTGCCTTGGTTGTGTGTTTTGGGTCATTATCATGCTGGAATACCCATCCACGACCCATTTTCAGTGCCCTGGTTGAGGAAAGGAGATTTTCACCCGAGATTTGATGGTACATGGCCCTGTCCATCGTCCCTTTGATGCAGTGCAGTTGTCCAGTCCCCTTAGCAGAAAAACACCCCCAAAGCATAATGTTTCTACCTCTATGTTTGACGGTGGGGATGATGTTCTTGGGGTCATAGGCAGCATTCCTCCTCCTCCAAACATGGCGAGTTAAGTTGATGCCAAAGAGCTTGATTTTGGTCTCATCTGGCCACAACATTTCACCCAGTTCTCATCTGAATCATTCAGATGTTCATTGGCAAACTTCAGACGGGCCTGTACATGTGCTTTCTTGAGCAGGGGGACCTTGCAGGCGCTTCAGGATTTCAGTCCTTCACGGTATAGTGTGTTACCAATTGTTTTCTTGTTGACAATGGTTCCAGCTGCCTTGAGATCATTAACAAGATCCCCCCGTGTAGTTCTGGGCTGATCACTGAAACTACATGAGGTGAGATCTTGCATGGAGCACCAGACCGAGGGAGACTGACAGTTATTTTGTGTTTCTTCCACTTGCAAATAATCGCACCTTCTCACCAAGCTCCTTGGCAATGGTCTTTTAACCCATTCCAGCCTTGTATAGGTCTACAATCTTGTCCTTGACGTCCTTGGACAGCTCTTTGGTCTTGGCCATGGTGAAGAGTTTGGAATCTGATTGATTGCTTCTATGGACAGGTGTCTTTTATACAGGTAACGAGCTGAGATTTAAGAGCACTACCTGTATAAAAAAACATGGGAGCCAGAAATCTTGCTGATTGATAGGGAATCAAATACTTATTTCACTCATTGACATGCAAATCAATGTATTACTTTTTTGACATGCATTTTTCTGTATTTTTGTTTTGGTATTCTGCCTCTCACTGTTAAAATACACCTACCATTAAAAATATAGACTGATCATTTCTGTCAGTGGGCAAAATCTCAAAATCAGGGGATCAAATACTTTTCCCCTCACTGTGTATGTATATGTATGTGTGTGTGTGTGTATATTTATATATACACACAGTGAGGGAAAAAGTATTTGATCCCCTGCTGATTTATATACAGTGAGGGAAAACGTATTTGATCCCCTGCTGATCAAAGAAATATATATATATATTTGTTTACTGTTGTACATCACCAGTTGGACACTGGTCACAGAAACTCGAGAAACCATATTTCTACAACTATCCCAGAGTTTTCAGCATGGCTAGCAAATGAGCAGACACAGGCAATGCTTGCAATGTGTTTCTGCCTGTGCTCATTGACGTGACATTATTTACTATATCAGTTCAAGTGGCAATTCAGTGCACCCGAAAGCATGTTCACTGGGCTCAATGCAAGCTTCCAGTAAAGTTCTTCTATATTAGACATTACTTCTTCCCCCCAACATAAACTATTGGGGGTAATCATGGGAAATAGCTACGGGCACTTGCTTCAATTTAGTCTTCTTCGACACTAGTCTCTTTGTTTCTGTTTGAACAAAACTTTGCAGTATCCTGTCCACCAAATCAGCCTTGGACTGCACACAAGTTCCGAGTCCTATTTTTGTTGTAGTACTCCAAGATATTAGCTGAAAACATATAAACATATTAATTCTCAGTCCGTTTGGTCTGTGTAATTGGACAAACAACCTCAGGTCACCTGTTCTTTAAAAGTGGACACCCACTTAGAAAGCAGATTTCATCAATGACACAGTTAGAGGTATAGGAGAAGGAGCAGGTTACTGATAGTAACTCTGCATACCCCATTAAAACCATAGTTTTAGCTGTTCATACGCTGCTGGCACCAGGTTTAACTGCATGAAACCGCAGTAAACAGTCATGGATGGTGCAATTTAACAGGTGACTGATTCTCTGAAACCAAACGCCAAACCTAGTAAATAAGGATTTAACATTGGTATGTTAAATAGATAATTAGTATAAATAAAGGTAAGAAATAAAAATCAGAAAGAGGAAAGATAAAGAGGGTGAGAAATGAGGAAGAAGTGTAGAGGGCATGCTGATTTAGTTAATCAGTTATTATTTGGGGCCTGTTGCTTTATAAATATCAAAGCCGACCAGTTGAAAAAACCTCTATAAGGAAAGACTGGGCTGGATGTGACAGTAACCACACAGACCATATTGTCCATTTTGTTGCCATAAATATTTGTCATAATATACATATTAAATAGCAGCTTGATGACAATTCTGCAGTTGAAATAGTTTTTGTTGAGAAATGTAGAGGTGACAAACTGGATCAAGATGTAGTTCTCTCCTCCCCTGCTGTCTTGCAACGTATCACTGCTTGCCTTTGTTCCATCTCTGATTGGATATGTAACTGAGCTTCCTGTACCCCAGTTGGGTACCTCTGCTGACGGATGCTCTTAGTGCTCACCAAGGACTCAACGCACTCCACCAGACACCATCAGCACCACAGTCCCCACGTCCAGCGTTACAGCTTGGCTGGGAACTCGCCGTCTCCTACCCACTCTGGACCTATGACAAAGCTCCAGGTTCCAGTGGGTGAACCTCTCTTCCTCCAGACAGTCAAGCAGGAACAGCTCTTAAAAGAGTTTAGTGATTATAGCCCAGGGGAGTATACAGAGTATAGCAATCCCCAGTGTAGATGCAGCCTTTTCCCCCACACATCAGACAGAGACTCTATGTTGAGGGTAAAACAGGAACAGACGTTTAATGGAGGCACACTGGCCCTTTATGCAAGTTTTCCAACAAGGGCGACACCCAGGTGGACCTTGTTGGGCACAGGGACACAAAGTGAACAAACCAATTAAAGCAGAGTCATACAGTGAGACACTCCCATACACAAACAAAAGAATCCCTCCTCTGTGCTTAAGAGATAATTGAATTAGGAACTGTACTAATCGTACTCTATTATCTCCAAGCTCAGAAAAACATAAAATTTTATGAAACCCCAAAAAGTACCTTAAAAACACATAAAACCCTATAAAGTTACATACATCCTCTGATAGCCCCGATCTGGGTGAACAACATATCCAAAAATCACCCAGCTTGGTTCAGGAATTCTATGGAAGTCATAGTTTTGCCCAGGCGCAAGCATGGTCCCATGCCCAAAACTGTTCCATAGAATCACAGCTAATGTTTGGTCTCTCTGTCTGAAGTACAAAAGTACATAACTCACACGAGCAGAGCCTGTTTAAAGTATTTTAGCCAGGTTTTCACAGGGGCCATAGTCCAAACAGCCCCCTCCATAAAAACCAGTGGCGAGGTCACTTTTTGAAACGTAATCTATCTAAAACTGAGCTTCTTATCTTTCCTCCTTGTTATATTGATCCTCCTCTTTCTCTCTTCTTTCAAGTTGATGTACCCGCATCAGCCCATCCCTGCAAGTGTCCTGGTGTTATGTTTGATTCTGGCCTCACCTTTGAGCCTCACATCCAGCTTGTTGCCAAATCCTCTCGATTCCACCTAAAAACATTGCCCGCATCCGCCTCTTTCTTACCCAAGAAACTATTGAGGAGCTTGTACATGCTCTAGTAATCTCTCACATTGACTTTTGTAACTCCTTCTTAATTGGTCTTCACAGAAGCCATACTGTCCCACTACAGTCTGTAATTATTATTATATTTAGATAGTGCCAGCAAATTCTGTAGTGCTTTACAATGTGTGGACTAACAAATGTAATTTTAACCAGACAAGTTTGACACACAGAAACAGAAGGGTTGAGGGCCCTTCTCAATGAGCTTACATGCTACAGGGAGTGGGGTAAAGCAACACATAAGGTAAGATAGGTAGAATAGTATTCAATGAAGACAGTGTTTTTTTTTTTTAAACAATTAACCGTTTAATTGATATGCTTTTGTGTTTTTTGAGTTTTTAATGATTTTTTTGAAGAAGTGGAGACTGGGTGATTGTCTAGCGGAAAAAGGAAGGGAGTTCCACAGGAACGGTGCAGCCCTAGAGAAGTCTTGAAAGCTAGAATCAGAGGTGGGAGTATGAACAGAGGATAGACGTAGGTCTTCGGCAGAGTGTAGGGGCCTAGACGGGACATACTTGTGTATTAGGGAGAATAGATAGGTGGGAGTAGCATTATGTAGAGATTTGAAAGCAAAAAACAGAATTTTATATTGAGCCTTATATCTTATGGGAAGCCAATGTAGGGACTGACAGAGGGGTGAGGCGTGGAAGGTGCGGGCGGGCAGGAAGATGAGCCTTGCCACCGCATTCATTATAGACTGCAATGGGGCAAGTTGGGAGCATGTAAGACTACTGAGAAGTGGAGTGCAGTAGTCAAAGCGAGAGAGGACAGTGGCATGGACCAGCATCTTAGACGCATCTGGCGTTAAGTAGGGGCGGATGCGAGCAATGTTTTTGAGATGGAAGCGTCAGGATTTGAGATAGACTAGACATGAGGGGTGAAGGAGAGTTCAGAGTCAAATTGAGCACCTAGGCAGCGAGCCTGTGTGGTGGAGCTGATGGTAGCACCATTGACGTGGAGGGAGACAGAAACGGGAGTAGCAACACTTGAAGGAGGAAAGACCAGAAGTTCTGATTTGGACAAGTTGAGCTTAAGGAAGTAGGCAGCCATCCAGTTAGAAATAGCAGAGAGGCAGTCATAGACACTAGTCATGAGGGGCGGGGAGAGATCAGGGAAGGACAGATAGATTTGCATGTCATCCGCATAGAAGTGATATTGGAAGCCAAAGGAGCTGATGTGTTTACCAAGGAAGGCAGTATAGATCGAGAACAGTAGGGGACCAAGGACTAAACCTTGGGGGACACCAACAGAAAGGGGTTGAAAGGAAGAGGCAGAGCTAGAGAAAGAAACACTAATAGAGCGTTGGATGAGCTAGGAGGAGCACCCAGGAGAGAGCAATATCTCGTATAGATGTTAAAAAATGTAATAATTAAAAAAGGCCATCACTACATGTGGCAATCACTTCATTTGGCTAAGCATAGCATGTCAGCCAATAAATATTTAAAAGGCAAGAGTAAAATAAGCCACTTCTAGGCAATTCTCCTGCTCTCTATCACAGCAACTACAGAGCACGCACCTCTTCCCCTGCAAGACTCTGGTGTTTTTACTAAAGGTCCCTTCCTTGTACTAATAGAACTTACCTACCTAATCTCCCACTTCCAAACCAACACCACTTTTACCTTCCAGATCCCACTATTTCCATTAGAATTCAATCCAAACCTCCCCATAATCAATTCAACTTGTCCAATTGTGTCAATACAATTTTTCTGCACTCCATATCGATATTATTCTCCCTCCCTTCTCATCCTTCAAAACAGTTCTGGTCCACCACCATACCAGATGATGTAATTGTGCTTACATGCCTTGATGCACAGTATTCAATCCTACTCTAGGACTGATGGCTAGATCTTTTATACCATGAAATTTTAACTTTTCTGATTTAAAAAATAAATAAAAATAAATAAAGTTAAGTTGGATCCCAACATCATTGAGTACATAAAATGGTAATGAATGCTACTACCAGACTGAATTTCCTCTCACACCTCACCCTTCTGTCAGTCCTTATATTGGCTTCTTGTATCCTATAGGGTAGGAGTCAATTCAAAATACTAATCCATACCTATAAAGCTCTGAACTCTAGCCCTTGTTATATCTCTTCACTAATTCAAAGGTATTCCTCTTCTCAGTCTCTTTCGCTTTGCCCATGATCATCTTCTGTCTGCTGCTAGCACCCATATGGCTAACTCACCCATGCAGGACTTCTTATGGCGGCTCCTTTTCTTTTGAATAGCCTGCCTATCACCATCACACTCTCCCCATGTCTCCAATAATTTAAATAGTAATCTCTACCTCACATACCTGTCTCTTGCTCTCTTCCAAAGGGCAGCACTCTACTCTCCTACAGCTCTGCCTCACTCCCACTTTCTTTAAATTGCTGTTCCCTGTCCTATTGTGTTTTATACCCAACCTACTCTAGATTGTAAGCTTGTTTGAGCAGGGTCTACATCAACCTATTGTTCCTGTAACATTTCGTAATTGTCTCATTTATTGATAATCTTCCCTCTTATAATATTGCAAAGTGCAATGGAATATGTTGCCGTAATATAAATACCAATAATAATAGTGTGACAAAATAGGAAGTAGGACCAACACTATTTTAAGGCTCAGGTGGCTCAGAGAGCCTGTGTATAGATCAAATTATTTCCTCTGACGAGCCTGTCTTTACAGTTTTTACCAGACAAGTGAATTGTTTTAGCCTTTTCAGCATATGCAATATTGGGTGGATTAGTACCTTGTCTTTTGTTTTCCTGAAAATGTGTCAAATACTGCTTAAAATGTGTCATATATGAATTAAACTGGATATTCCATTTACTAATAACAGAAACTAATCTCTCACTTCCACTAGAAACAGGCACATTATATTGTTATATAAACATACAAAATAAAAACCTTTACAGAATGATTAAAAGCTGCTTTTGTTGCTTTTCACATTTTCCTCTTAATTATAACAATTAGAGGCTCATTTCCAATGTTATTGCTAACTTTTACCAACCAGTCATTTTTAACTAAAATGGCCGTCAGTCTTACCAAGTACTGGATGTTTTATCAACTGTTTGCCAAATCTCACCATTTGAAATAGGAAATTACCAGCTGCTGTTACTGGTGACCGTTACCTTAAGGCAGGGGTGTCCAAACTTTTTTCAAAGAGGGCCAGATTTGATGAAGTGAACATGCATGAGGGCCAACCATTTTGCCTGACATTCTTTGAACCATTAAAATTTAATGCAAATGAACTATTTTATACAAAGTTTATTGCAGAAGGCATACTTTTCATTTCATCTCTTTACTCTGTCCATTCTTTCTTTATTCTGTCTATTCTCTTTCTCTTTTGACACTGTTCCACATCGAAGGCTCATCAATAAACTGCAATATTTAAGTTTGGATTACAATATTGTTGAATGGGTTAGGCAGTGGCTAAATGACAGGCAACAGAGGGTTGTTGTCAACGGAGTATATATGAAGCAAGGTCTAGTTACCAGTGGGGTACCTCAGGGATCTGTACTTGGACCCATTCTTTTTAATATCTTTATTAGTGATAATGCAGAAGGTCTTGATGGTAAGGTATGTCTTTTTTTTATTGATGATACTAAGATATGTAACAGGGTTGATGTTCCAGGAGGGATAAGCCAAATGGCAAATGATTTAAGTAAACTAGAAAAATGGTCCGAGCTGTGGCAACTGACATTTACTGTGGGTAAGTGCAAGATAATGCACCTTGGATGTAAAAACCCAAGGGCAGAGTATAGGATATTTGATACCTTATTAACCTCAACATCTGAGGAAAGGGATTTAGAAGTAATTATTTCAGATGACTTAAAGGTAGGAAGACAATGTAATAGAACAGTTGGAAATGCTAGCAGAATGCTTGGTTGTATAGGGAGAGGTATTAGCAGTAGAAAGAGGGAAGTGCTCATGCCATTGTACATACTCACTTGGAGTATTGTATGCAGTACTGGAGACTGTATCTTCAGAAGGATATTGATACTCTAGAAAGAGTTCAGAGAAGAGCTTCTAAGCTGGTTCATGGATTGCAGGATAAAACTTACAAGGAAAGGTCAAAGGATCTTAACATGTATAGCTTTTAGGAAAGACGAGACATGGGGTATATGATAGAAACATTTAACTACATAAAGGGAATCAACACAGTAATGGAGGAGACTATATTTAAAAGAAGAAAAACTACCACAACAAGAGGACATAGTCTTAAATTAGAGGGGCAAAGGTTTAAAAATAATATCAGGAAGTATTACTTTACTGAGAGGGTAGTGGATGCATGGAATAGCCTTCCAATTGACGTGGTAGAGGTTTACACAGTAAAGGAGTTTAAGCATGCATGGGATAAGCATAAGGCTATCCTAGACTTAAGATAAGGCCAGGGACTAAGTAAAAGTATTTAGAAAATTGGGTAGACTAGATGGGCCGAATAGTTCTTATCTGCTGTCACATTCTATTTTTCTATGCAATGGCTTGCCGTGGTGGTAGCAAGCCCATTAGCAGTTGCCTCATTAAATGTGGCAATTCCATTATGGGACATCGTCAGGGACCCCTCCAACCTTCAGGTTGTTTCGACGTCAGTTATCCTCTGGTGCTGCAAAGAGCTACTTTCATATATTAGATTCTGTTGCTGCAGGTCTTGTACCCTCTTTGCTGTGTGCCTTTATTGGAAGCACATCCAGTGCACTGATGCAGCCTGTCAGTCCCTGCAAGCCTTCGTGGACCGTGACCATGTCAGTATGTATGTTATTTTGCAGGTCTGCCAGGAACTCCTTCAGGATAGAGGTAGTCAACAGGGAGTCAGTTACCGCCGATCCCAGTGGTGGCTTCTTGGGTGCAGGTAAAAGTTAGTCCTGTGCTTCGTAGGACAGCTCAACTAAGAAATCTGAGTAGCCTCCAGATAGCGCAACCATCTTGCGCCATGTGTCTGCCTCCACAGATTGCCAATATTAGTCCCCAGGCTGGGTCTATCCTGCTTTGTTTTTTTTTGGATTTGCACCCCATGGTATCTTGGCTATCTTCCCCAAGAACCAGACAGCAAAGTTAAAAGTCCCTTTACTTGGTTTATCAGCAGCTTGAGGATCGTGCGCCCGTGTGCTTCGGCAGTTAGACTCCGTCCCCCCCATATTCATTATTTAACTGTAACTTGCACTTATTCTGGTAGACTACATAAAACTTGTGTCAGTGTCAAATATTTTCAGACCTAAATGTAATCCTCTTATTCTTAACGAAACACATCATAGCCATGAAAACAAACAATCCACTTAGCGTATCCCAGTAGAGAGAGTTCAATGGGAGGGCAGGTGAGAATAATACTCGCCTCCGTGTCTTTAAAAAAAATCATGACTTTACGTCATGATATTAGTAAAATCTGGGTATTTTATTAAAGACAGGGAGGCTCATATTATGCTTGTTCAAAGCTGGTCAATAACTTTTTTCCGAAAAATGGCTGATGGGTTTAAAATAGAAATCCCTGAAAGTAGATTCCGAAGACCAGTCCACTGCTTTCAGAAGGTCTTCCAATCTACAACCTATAGATGAAGCTTTAGAAGCCATAGCCCCCGGACAGACTGCCGCTTGAAGGCATTGTAGTGCCCTGTAGTGGAGCGGTCCTGGAATAATTGCTTAGCTAGAAGCCGGTAGAAGGCCGACCATATGATCCAGTTGTCTGAGGGAGATCTGCGGGGTGCGCAGCAAGCAAGAGACTTCCTTTTTGATAGACTTTACTTTTGACATGGCTAGTTGAAGAGTCTGTGTTGTTGAATCTATCTGCATCCCCAACAATTATGTGATGCGTGGGTGAGAGAATGAATTTCTCCTCGTTGATTAGGAACCCCAGATTTTGGAGGAGGGTCATGGTCCCGGTCAGGTGCATATGCAGTGTTCTTTGTGAAGACGACATTAGCAGGATGTCGTTGAGGTAGATGAGACATACGCCTCGACTCCTCAGAAAGGCGACAACTGGCTTCAGAATTTTGGTAAAGCACCACGGGGCTGAAGAGAGTCCGAATGGGAGGCATGTGAATCTCCATTTCTTTCCTTCCCAAATGAATTGCAGGAAGTTGCGGTTGCTTACAGATATTGGCACTGTGAGGTATGCATCCTTTGGGTACAATTTGGCCATCCAATCTAACGGCTGAAGTAGGAAGCAAAGACAGTGGATCCTCTCCATTTTGAAATGGTGGTATCTGACATACGTGTAGAGTGGTTTCACGTTGATGACGGGGCGCA